CTGCTTTCCTCCACTCACCCTGGGGGACCCATTTGCTTTCTTTAAGAGCGCAGTCTGCAGCGGGGATTCCGTCCTGGGCCTCCAGGCTCCGCTGTGTTGCCCAGGCCAGCAGGAGAGAGGGCAGCATCCACACTCACTGAGGTGCAGTTAGCCAAAATCTCAGGGACCTTGGCCTGTGACTGCCGCTTGCCAGCTGGGCCACTTGGGCAAGTGACTTAACTCTCTGGGCCTCTTCTCAGCTCTAAAATGCGTGTATTGCTGGGGCGCCTGAGTGGCTCGGTGGGTTAAGCCTCCCATCTCAAGGTTGGTGGGTTCCAGCCCCGAATCGGGCTCTGTGCTGACAGCTCAGAGCCTGGAACCTGCTTCGGATTCTGTGTCTCCCTCTCTGCCCCCTCTCCCCTCTCAAAAATAAACGTTAAAGAAAAAAAAAACTTTTAAATGCACATATTGCTCTCAGAGGAGACAAACTGTGGATTAAGTGAGTATATGAATGTTTAGAACAGTGGGGGAGTAAGTGGCTAGTCAGTCACGTTCCCCTCCCCTTCCACAGGGTGCTTCTAAACATGGCAGAAGGGGCGGTAGGCGGTAGAGCTTACACCGAGGAACCCCAACCCTTGGGGTTGATAGTTCCCTGTCCATCACTGCTTGTGTGTCTTTGGGAAGGTCAAAAATGAGTCTGTTTCCACATCTGGAGAACAGGGAATACCATGCCTTCCTCACCGAGTGTCCAGGAGAGCTGAATCAGGTCATAAGTAAGAGTCAGGCACACAGTAGGATCTTAGTTTAATGCAGGTTTTCTTGGTTCTACTTCTAAGCTGGAAGCTGCATCCAGAGGTGGCCCTATCAGACAGGAGAGACACTTGGAGAATGTCCCAAAGGTGCCTCAGGGGTAGGAGATTTTATGTCTGCCGTGCACAGAGAGAAGGAAATGGGTTTGCTCTGACGGAGGGATGCCCTCATGGAAAGTTGGGGCCACCAACACCAAGAGCTACCTCATGATCTAAGGTTGGCCACAACCCACAGTTTGGGTGGAGATTGAGGGGAAGAGGTGTGGCAGCTGGAGTGGGCATCCCAAATCACTTCCAGGAAGAAGTGTCCAGACATGACAATTTAAGATGCGGTCAGACACAGTTCGTTTGGGCCCACTATGGAGTTCTTTAAAACTTTTATTTTTATTTATTTAAAAAAAAATTTTTAATGTTAATTTTGAGGGAGACAGACAGAACACAAGTGGGGGAGCGGCAGAGAGTGATGGAGACACAGAATCTGAGACAGGCTCCAGACTCTGAGCTGTCAGCACAGAACCCGACACGGGGCTCAAACTCACGAACCACGAGATCATGACCTGAGCTGAAGTCGGACGCTTAGTGGACTGAGCCAGCCAGGTGCCCCTATTTTTATTTATTTTTTAATGTTTATTTATTTTTGAGAGAGACAGAGAGTGAGCAGGGGAGGGGCAGAGAAAGAGAGGGAGACACAGACTCTGAAGCAGGCTCCAGGCTCTGAGCTTCAGCACAGAGCCGGATGAGGGGCTCAGACTCATGAATTGTGAGATCATGACCTGAGCTGAAGTTCAGACCTTAACCGACTGAGCCACCCAGGCGCCCCGTGGATTTCTTTCTATGGTTCTTTCCATAGTCTCATAATGGAGGGCTCATTTACAGGCCTGGCTCTCTTTGCTTAGATTGGAGATTCTCGGATGGGAGATGAATTTTCAGCCTCAGAGATGGGTCAGAGCCCTCAGTGCCCCACTGTGGTAAAACTACCAAAAACCTGGGTTTACATCCAGAAGTTCTGGTATCCAAAAAACTCACACTTTCCCTCCCTCCAGTGCATGAACAGGAGGGTAGATTCTGTTCCTTCTGACTTCCAGATGTGCAATATAATGGCTAATTGCTAACAGAGGCTACAGTATCAGTTTGCTTCCTCCCTGCTCGGAGCAAGAGTATTGGGTCATCTCAGTTTGCACTTTAGAGGTTACCAGCTCTGAGAGGCTGGGCTGACAACGGTGGTCATACTGGGTCACTCACCTCCCCGCCCCCCCCCCCCAAAGGTGCCTGGAGTTTGGGAGACTCTTGTCCAAACACCTGTGTGTGTCTTTTTTGTTTTACCTTTTAGAGCCCGTCTACGTTCCCTTCCTCATCGTTGGTTCTATCTTCATTGCCTTCATCATCCTGGGCTCTTTAGTGGCTATTTATTGCTGCACCTGCTTGAGACCCAAGGAACCCTCACAGCAGCCAATCCGCTTCTCACTCCGCAGCTATCAGACGGAGACCCTGCCCATGATCTTGACTTCCACAAGCCTCAGGGCACCTTCCAGACAGTCCAGCACGGCCACCAGCTCCAGCTCCACTGGGGGTTCCATCCGCAGATTCTCCTTTGCCAGAGCAGAGCCGGGCTGCCTGGTGCCCTCCCCGCCTCCACCTTACACCACGGGCCACCCAATCCACCTGACCCAGCCATCCGGTTTCCTGGTGTCACCCCAGTACTTCGCTTACCCACTCCAGCAGGAGCCCCCGCTGCCTGCGAAGAGCTGCCCGGACTTCAGTTCCAGCTGACGGGCCACAGCGATAAATCCAGCCCGTTGTACAACGGCAGACAGGTGGAGTGCTGTCGCCATTGCTGCAAGTATTTCTGGGGAAATTTCCCTGGGAGCCGGCGATGTCATGGAGGAATGTGCTAGGAAAATACAGCGCCTTCTTAGTCTTAAGGTTCCCAGCTCCCATCACAGAACGGGTGCGTTAAGAGAATTGCTTTCTGGCCTTGAAAACATGGTGATTATTACATTTCAACTTATGCTGCTTTTATTCAAAATAGGCACCATTTCAATTTACAGTTGCAAATTGGCTGAAAATGTATTAATTAGACAACTCAGCTGTAATGTTTAGGAAAGGCCTACATGTTCTTTTGAGTTGTTTAGTGAGTTTTAGTACAAATATATACATAAATAAGCAAAGTAAAATACCTGATAGTAATTATTGAAGGTTCTCTTAAAAAAAAAAAAAATTAACAACTAAGCAACCTGAAGGGACAGTGAGCAACCTATTTACGATTTTGGGAGAAACCTAACCATGAATAACGTTAGCATCGTGAGAAGAGTTACTTTTTAAATTAATAATTAAATTTTGTTTAAAATATAAGAGCTTTTTCAGAATACAAGATTTCAGTAACCACATGGAGTTTAAAATTTTAAATATTTACTCAGATATTCATTGTAAACAGATCTTATGTAAAAGCATTTCCCGCACCCACCGGAGGGAATATTTATTGCAGACTTTTTGTTCAACAGCATTTAGTGTTTAAATGAAAGTTGGACAGCTGAGTCTTAAAACATTTATTTGTAAAATGAGTCCTGTACAAATGTAAAGATTTGTAATTTAATGTATTTACCACATTGACGGTACTAATTATTTAGTAGTCCACACTGAAATTTTTTATGTTAATAATAACTGTGGCGTTCAAAGTCCATCTATTGGGTTATAATCACCGAATATTACATATCTTATGTGCCACTCAGTTCTATGTCTGATGATCACATTTGGGCATATATCCTGCTGGGTTAGAATAAATAAAGTACTTTATGTTTTTGTGAACTTGAAATTTTAGGTCAAAGTGCTTCATTTTATCTTCTTAATGATACTCTCTGCTATTCAATAAAAGAAGAGGTCTTCACTTACTTCATATTTTGAAATTAAAAAATCCTACACTGATTTTGCATTATGTTAAAAAGCTCTTTTCCACATCAGGGCTTGTGGAGAGCAGCGAAGGAAGTGAATTCTTAGAGATTTAAAAATTGGGACATTTCTCCTAAGAGTCTGGATTTCTGGCTTCTCGTGACATGAGGAAGATGTGGCACTGAGGTTCCTATACTGCCACTGGGCCAGGCCAGCCCTTTTCAGACAAGACACTCGTCATTCACCAGCCTCCTGCCTGGTCTCCACAACCTGGCCCCTTTCCCTCAATTTTGTTACCTACTTGACCCCTGTGGGTGTTGTTTTGGAGCCTCGGTTTATATGAATTCATGCTACGATATGTGACCCTCAATAGCTCTTTTTATATATATTTTTAAATACAACCATTTTAATTTTTTTTTAAAGTAAGCTCTACACCCAAAGTGGGGCTTGAACTCAGGACCCTGAGGTCAAGCGTCACATGCTCTAATTGGCTGAGCCAGCCGGGCATCCCTCAGTAGCTCTTTTTATAATTTATTTTAAGGAGAGAGTGCACAAATGGGGAGAGGGGCAGAGGGAGAGAGAGACTCTTAAGCAGGCGCCATGCCCAGCACAGAGCCCGACACAGGGCTCCTTCCATGACCCTGGGATCATGACCTGAGCAGCGATCAAGAGTCAGGTGCTCAATGGAGCCAGCCAGGCCCCCTTGAGTAGCTCTCTCTCTTTTTGTTTTAAAGTTTATTTATCTTGAGAGAGAGTGTGCGAGCTGGGGAGGGGCAGAGCGGGAGAGAGAGAGAATTCCAAGCGGACTTTGCACTGTCTGCACTGTGAGCATAGAGCCCAATGTGGGGCTGGAACCCACAGGCTGAGATCATGGCCTGAGCCTAAACCAAGAGTCAGACGCTTAACCGACTGAACCACCCATGCGCCCCAGTAGCTCTTTTTAATAGAGCCACTTAGAGGTAGAATTCTAACCTGGGGGAGTTGTTTGGCCTTACGCTTTTGCTTTCTAGCTGAGGAAGCAAATTCAACGGTATCGTGCCTTTGCTCGGTCTGATGGCAGAGGAGCTCTGACTTCTGGTCCTCTGCTTTCTCCCGTAACCAAAAGTGGTGACTTCGGATATCCCATATTGCCCAAAATAAGAAAGAAAGAAGGGGGGGGGGCAGGTTGGGAGGGAGGCAAGAAGGGAAAGAGGGATGGCCGAACAGTAAAAGGAGAAACACTTGTGAGCATGCCTCTGGTACACACTCCTTTGTCATTAGACTGGTTTTATTCATGTTTGTTATATATTGCTCCTTTGATATTTTAAAAGCTAATCTCTGCTGGGCTCTTATGAGCCAAAAGCTATTCCAAATATTTATATGCGCTAATTCCTTTCATCCTCCAAACAACTTCAAACAGGGAGGCATTAGAATTCTTATTTTACGCACTTGGAGGAGTGAAGTCACTTGCCCAAGGTCGCACAGTCGGCCCTGGAGCTTCATGCAAAACCAGGTTGAAACAGCAAGGGAACGCCTGCTTTGAGGTTTTGAAGTTTCTGTGCATGAAATCCACTGTGGGGTAAAGCATGAAACCCAGTCCCAATCTCCGAAGCAATGACTGTCAAGTCTGTTGGGCCCAGTGAGCTCTCCTTAGAACAAATATTTTGTGCCATCCCTTTAACTGTCCTAAATTGAAATTTATAGGTAATATTAATCACTTACAGATACAATTTTTAAAAATCAATACAGTGTCTTAATGGTAAATAGGAGAAAGAAAAGGAAAATACTTCCAAATGTGACAGTTTCAGTAGACCTAACAAAGGTCCTAGATTTGCACCTCTACGCAGAACGACCGAAAAGCGATAGCTCCAAATCCAGACTGATGCAGGGCTGCTAGACTGGCAACCCACACCCCCCGTTGCATTATTGCTGTTAATGTGATTTTTCCAAACAAAGCAAGGTCTGATCTCCTTTTGATTTTCACAGTCGTTATGTATCTGGAAAATCCAGTGTATATTAAAACAGTGTCAAAGATACTTTATAGGTAAAATAGGACTAGGTTTTTCCACCCAAAGGAACATTCCAAAGTCACACCGACGGTCAAGTCTTTGTTGGGTGGACTAACCTGTGCATTGTAGGATCTCTGTCAAGACAAAGACCCACCAATGAATACCCACGACACCTGCCCCTCCCCCTCCATCCCAGCTGTCTCCACACAATTCCACAATGTCCTCTAGAGGGCAGAACCACCTCCGCTGAAAACCATCTAACTTGTCAGCCTTCTCTAGTGGCTGTACTTCTATTTGCCATCCCTCTGGAGAGCAGTTCTATTAGGCAAAATAATGCTAAGGAATTCAAAATGTTCACACCTGCAAACTTCTCTTCCTCAGCCGTGTGTGCCAATCAAGTTCATGGGCTCTAAGCTGTTTAAAATATACAGAGTCATTGTGTCCTCATTGTAACCTGGCACTCAGTGACGCTGAATCAAATCATATCCCCACCTACTTGTTGACATAATACATGCCTTTGGACTTCTCTATGAACGATATGTAGCTGATGTTATTATTATTTACACACCCAAGGCAGGCAACTTGGCCATCCTGTGGCAGATTTCCAGATACGGTCCATCCGGCAAGCATTTATTGGACACCGCCTCTGGGTGAGGCACTGTGCTAGGGGTTGGGAGTGTCAAAATGAATAAAACGCAGGTCTGATTCAAAAAGCCACTATCTCCACAGACCCAGGCATGACGGCAAGTCCTTGTGATAAGCTGTTACAGAGGCTCTATAAAAGAAGCACATTGTCTTTCCTGCTTTCCAGGAGCTCGCAGTCACTTAGGGGAAGATGAACCCACAAACCGACGCTTAGAATTCATTCTGGTAACTGCAATGATAGGGGACGTGTAGAGTGTCCAGGCGGCACATACAAAGGGCACCTCGCTTTTCTGGAGGGGTTGAGATCGAACCTGGGCCTCTGGATGCATGGGATCTGAGTGAGGAAGGCTGGGTCGGGGAGGCAGAGAGCAGTGCTAGGAATGAGAGGAAGAGCATATTAAGCAAAGAACTGTAGAATGGCAGAGAAGCACCCACTGGCATAAAAGAACAAGGAGCAGTCTGGAAACTAGACAATTCAAAGAGTGAGGGTGAAGAGATGAGCAGGCTCAGTATCAGAGGTCTTGAAAACTAGGGTGGTTGGATATACATCACATGTAAGGGGAACCTCGACGAGGTCCATGAAGGAGAGCAGCTTGATCACATCTTCATTTTAGCCTAGAGAACAAGGGTCACGTCAGATCACCTGATATTTCCAAAGAGAGGCTCGCCACAACCTGCCACAGCACCAAAGTATGGTGGAAATCTGGCTGATTGATGCTTTATTACTTCCCCCAAGAATTAGAGTCCAAACATCCTAAAACCATGATTATTTTGAAGAACGGAAGTTCTACACTTTGAAAGGTACTTATGCAAATAATGGGTAACATTTACTAAGCACCACGTGTGTCTCAAGTCTTTATGAACTGTAATATTTAATCCTCACACCCCTGAAGTGAGGGTTGTTATCACGCCTGTTTTGCAGATGAAGAAATCAAAGCAGCAAGGTTAAACACTATGCCCAAGGCCAGACAATAATAGCAGAGCCAAGATTTGAACCCAGGCAGTCTGCTTTCAAATTCTACATTCTTTTTTTTTTTTTTTTTTTTGTATTCTCTTGAACAAAATTTTTATTTTTATTTTTATTTTATTTTTTTTAAAATTTTATATATGAAATTTATTGTCAAATTGGTTTCCATACAACACCCAGTGCTCATCCCAAAAGGTGCCCTCTTCTCAAATTCTACATTCTTTATGATACATAACCACACAGCTCCCTCCCCACTGGAATGCAAGCTCTAGAATTTCTAGAAG